TAGGTTAGAAAGGGTGATGCCATGCAATGAGGTATTAAGAATTCATTTGGCCCCCGCTGCCACACACTTTCAGCCTCCCAGGTCTTTTCAGCTCCATCACGCTTATGCTTTTGGCACATCTAAATCTCCTGGGTAATGGTCTCCAGTGCCCCTGAATCTTTTCTTTGCATTTTAAGCTCTTGGATGTGTTTCCTGCCAACTCTACTGTATGATGTAACTAAAGCTAATCCTGGAGTTTTGGATCAAATTTGGTTATGTCATTATTCTGCAGGTTACTGGAAAAGTTGCAGCATGCCTAAAATAAATGTAACATGGAGCATTATTGTTTAAGTTTGTTTTGTTTTAATCAATAAGCTCTTTCATTTTTAGTATATTAGCATAAATAGAATATCTTTGAGGTTTGGTGGGACAAAATGAACAATTTTCAGACAACCTGGGTTGTTAGAGCCTGTGATGGCCAATTCTTGTAATATTCTGATATTTTATTGGTTTGAATAAATTAATCAAATTAGGAAAAATAGAATAAGCACGTAATTTATACATAAATTAAAAACCAAAATAATCGATGTTTTGCATCTCTTAAGTGTTTAAGTATACAAAACGTGATGTAAGGACCTGGGTAATACTTTGATGATGTACAGTATAATGTGAGTACTAGAGTTATGTATCACTTAGATAGAACCTGCCTTACTCTCAGATTTTCATTAATATAAATTTTATTGGAGGTTCCAATGTTGCCTAAACCTTTTAGAATTTTTTTTTTCTCCCCACTGCCAAGACCTTAGGAACAAGAAAACCCTAATTACTGCAGTTTTTAACACAAAGCTCACAACCGTCCCTCTCAGTCAAACTGCACTTAGAGCTGTTTTAATGGAACTACTCAGTGACCCACAATGAAATACTGTAGGTGTTACCGTCAGCTTGCAGTCGTGAGTGATAGCCGCTGGATAAATGTGAAGCAGAGCAAGCTGAAAAAAGGCACTATGTACTTGGTTGTTGCTCCCTGGAAGCAAAATGAAGGTTAAAAGTTCCAAAAGTGAACCAGTTCTATAAAACAATTTCTGAGTTAATGTCTTCAAACGCCTTGCTGTAATAGTCTGTTTTGAATTCCACATTGTGTTCCTTCCAGTTGCAGTATTGTGGTGTGTGTGGTGTGTGTGTGTGTGTGTGTGTGAGAGAGAGAGAGAGAGGGAGGGAGGAAAACAGACAGCCTCTTCCAAAGCACCTACACTAATTGACTCATTTTTTAGAAGTGGGGAGACACAGACAGTCAGCTGTGTGCGTAGTGTTAAAGGCAGCTCATGTGTAGTCATCATGCATGAGAAGCTAAGCTGGAAAGCTGGGCACTCTGGCAGCTTGTGGAGGCTGTTTTTAAAGAATGCATTTGGCCGTGGAAATAACCTTGAGATCATCTTTACAGCATGGCATTAGCCCAAAGGCTGTCATCATTACTCGGACAGGGAAATGTGAAGGCGTTGACCTACGGTTTTATGCTCTTCACATTAAAGTGTGGATCTGCCTGGAAAGTCGGTGCTTTTTTGGTGGTGTGTTCACAGGAAGGTCCCACCGCAAGCTCAGTGACACCTCCGGGTGATATCTCATGTCCTCATTAGGAAGGGCTAAATACAGAGAATAGCAAGTGGCAAAGGGTATATGTGTGTGTTAGCCTGCAGTGTGTACCTGCCTGTGGATCAATGACATCATTTGAATATTTTTAGAATTTGCAAGTCAACTTACAATTTATATACATGAGAAATATGATTTAAAAAAAAGACTTATTTTGATACTACTGGATATCAACCCAGAGAATAATCATGCTGTCATTCTGTTGAGACTGCTGAGTTTCAGTGGTTATAGTAGCACTTTATAGAGAAGCTAAGTGAAACCAGAACTTCCAGGTTGTGTTTCAGAAGAAAGAAAACCCCAATCAAAACCCCACTGAGATTTCTAATCTGGCCAATATCTAAAAACCCAGCCTTGGCACACAGCTGTTTTCAAAAGTATGTTGTGAGTTTCACTACATGTGCTTATACTATAAAAGTTTATTTCTTTAAAACAATGTATCTTGATATTAACATAATATTTCTGTTTTTAGCAGGCTTCAGTGAACACTGCTTCTCAGAAGCCTGAGCCTGTCAGGGTTTAGACGTCACCAGAGGATTTTGGTTGACTGGCAGGAGAACTGTGAGGTCCTGAGTCGAGAAATAACTGTAACATTTACACATCTTCTTCAAAAGTTGAGAGAGGTGAGGCTAATGCTACATGGACCACAGAAATGCAGAAGTTTTAATTTTCAGTAGTAAGTGCTGTGATTGGTGGCTGACAAAAAAATCCCAAGGAATGCGTTTAGTTTTCTTACAGTGACTGATGTTAAAAATGCTAAATGAGTGACTGCGTGGGCAGCACAGGGACCAGGCAGTTAGTGCTGTTGCCCCACAGCAAATAAGTTCCAGGTTCGAGCCCCAGCTGCCCCCAGCTTTCTGTGTGAAGTCTCCATGTCCTCTCTGTGCCTGTGTGGGTTCTCTGCAGGTACTCCATCTTCCTCCCACAGTCCAAAGACATGCAGCTTAGGTTGACTGGTGACTCTAAATTGCCCGTGTGAGTGTGTGTGACTGTCTGTCTACATGTCAACCCTGTGATAGACTGGCTACCTGTCCAGGGTGGACCCCGTCTCTCGCCCAGTGTCAGATGGAACTGGCTCCAGCGACCTTATTCAGGAATAAGTGGTATCGATAATGAATGGATGGAGTGATTGACTGACGCTAGTGGAACAAATGTGAGGATATGACTTCAGCTTTTTTTTTTTAAGACAACTATTATTTAAAATTGACTTTTATTTTATAAGTTAATTAAACTTTTTTTTAAAACCTTTTCTCACATATCTGATTTACAGCTATTAGACTGTGGGACATCAATATTAAACATGCCTCCCCGCAGCGTGCAGACTGTTTCTCTTTAAATGATCCCAATCAGCTGGCACACACTGGTATAATGTTTGATTCAATGTGAGTCTTAATGCAAACAAGTGAGGGTGTGTGTGAATGCGTGCACTCACATGTGGGTGGGTGAGCATTTTTTGTTTCAGTTGCACGTGCACACATATCAGCGTATGTGTACTTTTTTGGTCATGTGTTTTCATGCGTAGGTGTTTGCGTGTGCATGTGTGTGTCGCCGTCTATGTGTTCATGTGTTTTGCCCACTCACAACCTATCTTTATCCATACTGTGATATCTACAGTAATCCTTGTCTTTGTGGGAAGGTTCGGGCAGGGCCAAGTGAAAGACTGAGGATTAAATGTTTTCCGGGAATTCTGTCTGTTCAGATCGACAGTGGGGTAAGCTCAGAGAAGAACATGTTCCCCAGTTTTCTCTCTCTTACTTTTTGCTGAGGCTGCTGCCATCCTGTAGGTTGTGTGTTGCAGGCCTCTGGAGGGCTCTTCAGCATCCAGTGCTGTTCAGCCTCAGGGGGGGATTGGACCTCCTGGGCTATTGAAGCAGTACACTCACTCCCTCAACAGACAAGAAATGCATATTGAATCACTCTGTTGCACTCTGATGCTTTGTTTTTAGCATCTTTCTGTGGCACACAGCTAGGTTTTGCATGTTCTGCTTGATCCATTAATCTTTCATTCACTGAACACTTTTGGCATCACCACAGATGTTGTCTGACATTGGTCCTCTAGCAGCTGTCTAGTCCTTTTGAGCAGACAGGGCAAAATGAGATATTTCTCATTGAAGCTGCTGAATCAGTAGGGATTCAGTGCCTTGCTCAAGGACGCACCGAGAGCAGGTGTTGATACAATTTGGTTCTGCAAAATGTAGCTATTAGAGCTTGTTTAGCTTTATAGTTTGGATTTCTGTGTGAGTGTCAGGATACATACACATCATTAATATCACATTTTTTGCTTCTGGAAACTAATACACGCTCAATTATATCTGCTCTTTAACAGTAACATTTATGGCAGTAGTGGCTGTGGCAGACACTAAAAGTCAAAGGCATACTTTAAAGACATTTTGTGACTGAATCGTACCCTGTAGGTTTCATCTTTCATTTTCTTTAGCTGTGTTACTGCAGTTTTACAGTAATATTGACTTTGTTTGTTTTAAACTTTTGATGTAAAAGTGAGAGAAATGGTGAAGAGTAAACCTGTAAGAGGGATCTGACCCTGTGCAGAGTTCCATTTAAACAGCATGCACGTTCTATAATCAAAACATTATACTCACTATGGCACTACTAATTATTATTGAGGTGACTTATTAATCAGAATCAGCTGTACTGGCCAGGTGTGTTGGACATGAGGAATTTGACTGTGGTACAGCGGCTCTCAATGTGCATGTACATATCCCCATGCAAGGGCAAGTAAACAATATACCAACATAAGTCTGTGTAGTATAACAAAATAAACAGACAGTAAACAATGCAGACAGACAGAGGAATGGTCATTGTGAAATGGGATAAGTAGAAATAAATACAGAGTACTTAAAAATAGAGACCTGTATGGATCTGAATAGTCTGTATGTATTTACAGGTATTGCACTGAGGGTTATTGTCCAGTCATACTGTTGTGCGTCACGTGTTCCTCAGACTACCAGCCCACGGGAAGAAACTGTCCCTGTGTCTGGTTGTTTTGGTGCACAGTGACCTGTAGCGCCGTCCAGAGGGGAGGAGTTCAAACTGATTGTGTCCAGGGTGTGAGGGGTCTGCAGTGATCCTCTCAGCCCTTCTTTTGACCCATGAGGTCTACAGGTCCTCTATGGAGGACAGGCTGGCACCAGTGACATTTTCTGAAGTCCTGACTCTCCGCTGAAGTTCGTTCCTGTATTATAAACTATTCATTTAATGGGGTAATTATTTTTGTTTAATTCTTGCCACTTTGCTTACTGTAATTTATTGGTGCAGTCCACCAGGTGTGTTGAATGTATAATATGTGACCATTAAAAAGACTTCCTTTTATTGTCTCAGATGTACCTGTCATTTTATGATCTGTTCTCCTTAACCAGCTTTGCTTCCACATGGTTTGAACGTGTCAGCATGATGGTGATCCTGTTGAACTGTGTGACCCTGGGGATGTACCAGCCCTGTGAGAACATCGACTGCTCTTCAGATCGATGCCAAATACTACAGGTACATGAACACACACACACCTCAAAGTAAAAACACTTTTGTGACAAGTTGATAATTGCTCTTTGACTTTAAGGCGGACTCAGAAAATAAAAGCACATTTTTCAAAAGTGTTAAACCAATTTGAGTTATTTAACTTATTCTTACTGTAGTATTGTTGGTTTTTATGGCTTCTACAGTTTTTATATTTATATTTTATTTTCAGAGGCGTTCCAGATATTTTGACCCTCTCCTGTTTGTAGCTGGGGAGGACAGAAATATAGAGACACCTCTAAATATACTGTAGTCCAATAAAACACCACCTTTAAAAATGACCTCAATAATATACATATAATTGAATTTATACATTTATGACAGTTTCACTAAAAACTGAAACATTTTGACGCTAATGCTGAAGTGTTGCAGTGATTTGTATACTATTGCACAGGTGTACCTAATAAAGTGGCTGGTGAGTCTATATAACTCCCATAGAAGCAGACATACAGAACTCACATAAGCACACAAAGACAGTGTGCACATCAAAATGTTTTAGAACTTAGCCATATTCTTTAATATGCACATGCAAATACATACATTTTGTTCACAGACAGGCGTTTCTAGGAAGCGTGCACATGTAGTGCTTTATTCCATCATACAGCACATACTTGTGTTGACACACAAAGAACACGCAAAGTCACATGCACCTACCCCCTCCCACTTTTCCTCTCTATGTACCTTCCTGGGCTCACTCTCCCTTCACTCTCTCTCTCTCACGTTGGGATCTGTAACTCCTCACAGTGACTCACTGCTGGCATGTGGCTGTCACTGTGCAGCAAGCATGACTTTCGCTTTCCACGTCATCTGGCAGGACACAGAATCCCCTCTCACTTATGTCCAAGGTGGCCTGAGTGGGCATAACATCTGTGAGAGCACATGCGCATGTACTGTACGTCTCGAGCCTGTTGGTGCGAAGCACTTGTTGAATCACCCCTGCTTTTCACATCCTCACTCAAAATCACATAAGGCATCACACTCATCACATAACAGCCAATACACACAGTAGATTGATTTGGCTTCCTGGGGGAAGTGGCTGGTGAATTTCTCCTCCAAGTATCTACAGACCCTATTGAATATCTTCATGGATTAAGTGCACTACAGCGCCACAGTCAATATACTCCTCTCAGCAAATTCGTTATTCAATACCATGATTTCAATGGAGCCTCACCAATCTGTAAGCTAACAAATGTGCACTCGAAGACCTCTGGGAGCTTAGCGAGTAATTTAGTCAGGTAGTATACACTGGTGAATGGCTGAATGGCTGGATGAGTGGTTAAATCAGGAAAGATAGTGTGGATGATAATGTCCACAGTGCAGTGTTTGCATCATCGTTTGTTCTGCTGTAGTAAAATTGTAGTTTGGTCTTGAAGACACTACACATCTCATCCTGGAGAGCTTATCTCATTCTAATGCCTCTTGGATGTGCAGCGAAGCATTTTCAAGTCCAAACATCAATTATATTTGCATATGGCTGCCTCCTATCTGTCTGATGACCTGGATGTGTGAGAATCTTCACAAACATCATAGGCTGTTGTGTGAGGACTGCAATGTTTTCACTGTACTGTATAGGAAATGCGAGAAAATGGATAGCAAGCCCACATCAGACCTTCATCATAAATTACAACTATAAATCAGTGCTTGAGCTTGGATACGAATCCCCCAAAGCTGACCCACTTAATTAGAGAATTCTTTGATCTGACAAAAAATGTGAAAGGTTTGGAACCTTCAGAGCTGGGTCATTTTCATCATAAAAAATAAATAGTGTTCACTCAGGAAATGGTGATTTGATACTTAGATTAGTGGAGAAATGTACATTTTGAGATGTTTCAAACTTTTTCAGTATCTACTATTGTTATCAGTATTTGTCAGGTTGAACCACATAACTGGTTCAGATTCAGATCATGCTTCCCCCTTCTGAAAATCACATTAGAGGCAACACCAAGCACAACACTTTATGTTTAATCCTCCTGTATACACCAGCTAATCTAGACTTTTTGCTCACAACAGCAATAACTGGCATTAGCAAACTGAGAGCTTTGATTTATTTAGATTTTTTTTCTCTCTTCTTTTAATTAAAAGCTTGATTAAAGCTGGGAGTGGGGTGGGGAAATGTCAATGTGGGGCTTGTCATAGATTACTGCTGAAATAAAATATTCTTTATTACTCCACCATTGAGGGCAGAGCTGTGATGGTGGTTGAGAAAAGGCAGGAGGAGGGAAATAGAGGTTTAGTAGAGAGAGGGAGCAGAGGTCATGCTAGACTCTCATGTTATCCATCCTTTTGATGGACAGGGTCATAAAAATTCATTATTACCTGTCAATTTAATTTTCATTTTTAATTATAAGACACAGCCTACTTAATAGCATTTCATTTTCATTTTATTTTTTTAATAATTTATATACGAAATAAGCTAATGTACAGCTACTTTTCATGTCAACAGACTACTTTTTCTTGCAGTGACCGCGGAGGCCACTAAAACACTGCAGCCAGTGTGCATAAACAAGCAAAAGTGAACACAGCAATTTTGAAAAATTAGACAATTGCCATTAATATATGAACGGCCCATTTACACAAAGCTTGGCTAACTTTACTTGACTCAGCTGACCTGCTGTAACCTAGCCTTCTGTAGAGGCGATTGTCAGAAGGTTTTGCATCTTCGGAAAGATGATTTCTCACAGTCATTAAAATTTATACCTGAAATCTGAACACACGCTCTGTGGCCACACTGGCAACTGGACTTCCCAGCTCCACTTCAGCCAATGTTTTGAAGTCAGGAACATTTCTTTTGGAAATTTTTTAGAGGTTGCTCTGAACATGTGATATCCTGATCCTGAAACACTCACATCACCAGGAGGAATCTGCAGCATGCGCTCCTTCTGCACTAGAGGCACAGCTGCACTTGTCTGTGAGCCCCAGATGTGCTCCATGGCTGTTCAATGCATGTTGAGTACAGTCTCAGTTGTCCTTCATCCATGTACTATGATTTGACTGAAGTGCTTAATGTCAGCTAACATTTTTTTCATCATCTATTAATCAGCAGATTATCTTCTTGCATAACTGAACAATAGTTTTGTCTGTAAAATGCCAGAATATAGTGAAAATGTACTTGTTAATTTCCAAGACCTCAAGGTGGTGTTTTCACGTAGCCCAGTTTCAATATTCCCAAAAGTATTCAGTTGAGTAATATAACAGGATAAAGAAAACTGTAAAATCCTCACATTCGAGAAGCTAGGATCAGTGAATGTCTTGCATAATCATCATTATTTGGTTAATGAAAAAGCTGTATAACTCAAATCAAATTAAATTTTATTTGTATAGCGTCAAATCACAACAAAAGTCATCTCAGGACACTTTACAAAGTAAGGTCTAGACCTTACTGTTATCAATATTATGACATAGGGAAAACCCAACAAATCCCCCTTGAGCAAGCACTTGGCGACAGTGGGGAGGAAAAACTCCCTTTAACGGAAGAAACCTCCGACAGACACCGGCTCTTGGTGGGCGGCCTTCTGCCTCGACCGGTTGGGGTGAGTGGATAGAGGAGAGACAAAAGAAGAAAAGCAACAAGACACAACAATCAAACACTGATCAGGTCGATGTGGCCGGTGACTGCT